TTTTTTTTTTTTTTTTTTCACTCGAGCTCTCGACGATGGCGCGCGGTCTGAAAGAGGGGCTTGGTTCGGCTAGAAAAACGTTCTCGACCACCAACGGCGACGGTCACAATCCGTTCATTCTACAAAATGCCATTATCACAGCGGCGGCGACAGCGACAAACGTTTGTTTTCGCGCGCATGCGGGTTCAGATAGTTATTGTGAGGATAATTAAAGTTTTTTTTTTTAAGTTAGAATTCAGACGACTCTGATTTTTGAACCAACATTGGTGTCAACGGTTTGTCGATAGTGTGTTAGACCTATATATATATATATATATATATGTAAGAAAAAGAAGAAATTCAATAAAATAAACTTTGAAAATGTTTCTGGCTTTACAAATCATATTATAAATGTGAAATTGCGAAGAAATAAAAGATCGCGTGTTCACGCATGAGAGAGATACGTGTCTCGCAACTTGGAAATCGCGATCGACGTATGTAAGAGATAACTTCAGGTAGAATTTAGAAGTTCGTCGAAGAGAAGATACCGATCGTGATCGTTGTTAGTCTTGTCGTTACCGATGCGAGGAAGAAATTACTCTTACGAGCTATATCTCCGGAACAGTCCCGCGCACACACACCTTCAAGTACGAGAGTTATGCGTTTGTATCCTATGAAAGGCCAAGGTAGGGCAAGGTATATATACCCTACTACGAGAGTGCACAGAGAGAGGAGTCAGTGCCTGCTTTCGGCTCTTGTCATTTGTCTTCCTCCGAGATAGAACCAAAGTTTCAAAGAGACGCCCCAAGTCGCGTCCCAGAGCAAGTAGGGAGTCAACGTCTCCCTAAATTTTCGCGCTCGCAGAATTAATGGCGGCGTCAGTTTGTAAAATCTTCGTCCCGGAGAGTCGTGGGAGAAGAACGATATACGTTTCGATTCGTTGGAATCGAGTAAATCGAGAGCCGCGCGCTCGTTACGTAATGCTGAGATAGATAATCCCAATTTTCTCTCACCCTCGTATTCTGTTCTTATATAGATATCGCGCGAGAATAGAGAGAAAAATCAGTGTGATGGGGCGCCGTGTTGGTTTTATTTTCGAACTTTCTGACGAAGAGATCGTCTGTCTCTCTTTGCGCGCGTAGACGTCAGTCAAAAATGACAGAGACTTTTTTACTATATAATTAAGTGTTCATTCACAACTCGTCTCGTTTGATTCTCTTTGTTCGCGCACGATAATCGCCTTTAATCCTTTCGTCTCTCGTATAAATTCAATGATTAAAAACATCAACTCTCGCGTTCACGGTGCTTCATTCTTTGGAATAAAATATGAATACAAAATATGTGAGTTTGTGCGGTGCTTTTAACGATCTGCTCTTCAGCTTGCATTATTTAATTACGTATAATCCTGAAGCTGTTTCCCAGCTCTTTCGCAGGAACTGCGGTTGCAACATACCGCGCGGAAAAACTAATCCCGCAAATTATTACACTGAAGCATTGTGCGGGCTGTATAAATTATATTCTTGCGAAATGTTGAATTGCGCGCTAAAACGTATCGCAAAATAAGCTCAATCGCGCAATTATATTGCGATGAAACAAATATCTTTAATCATAAATATTTCGCGTCGATCGCCGAAGTATTTTTTGATTTTGTTGTTCCAGCTATAACAAGCGGATGATGCGCTTTGTAAATACACCGTAATTATATTGAGCAACGTGAGAGCGACCTACCGACGTCAGCAGTTCAATTGTTATCAAAGTACTGTTTGGTTTACAGAAAAATTGTTTTCTTTAAATCTAAAGAAAAACATTTTTCTTGCAATACATCCTCTGTTCATTCTCTACTTATATGCGGAAAAAACTATTTTTTCTATATAAAAAAATTGATAAAATAACTATATTACACACATATATATATAATACTATTGTTAAAAATAACGAGTACTTCAATGCGCATTCATTGTTTATACAATTTATCTAAAAACATATCTATATTTTTTTTGTTTTTCCCATTTCACATTTCAAATCGCAGCTTTTCCAACTTCGTAGAATGTGCATAAATCAAACTGCGAACGAGAAGTTTGTAGTAAATTATCGTGTGTTGCGACACGCGTTTGGCTCGTTAAAAAATCGTTAGTGCAACGTAATCTCTTTATATTCAAGTAATAATTCTTAACTATACAATTATTTCCGTTTTTTAAGTATGTATGTACATATCAGTATTACATTAAAATAATTACTGGAATATATTGCACTTTTTCTCTCTTTCTCTCTCTCTTTCTCTCTCTCTCTCTCTTTCTCTAATTAGTATAATAATTATAGCAATTATTTTATTAAAGTAAAATTACTCAAATAATATATATAATGAAATTATTAATTATCGGAACTGTCTTTGTCACGAATTTCTGTACCGCGCTAATTACACTACATTTTCTCAATGAATCTGACGCAATTTCAAGTCGATCAAGTTGCGCATACTAATCTTTTGTAATTCATTTATCACGTAAAATTCTCTCTGCAACAGCTACCGTAATAAAGCTTTCTGGTACATGTGGATAACGGAAGGGATATGCGTTTAAGTACTACACGCTGTTACGTTATATTGAATCGGCTTAGAAACACCTGGACCTCCACGGATTTCAGATGTCTGAAAGGATTTCCGCGATAGCGTGTGTGATATTCGCACGGAAACAGTTCATTACTATTTCCATCGCGAGATAAACGAGTGTCAAGTGTATGCTTTCTATTAGAACTATATCTTATAAAAAAAAATTATCTGTTTCAGATGTGTTAATAAGACGAAACTGTTGATTGAAATTCGCGCTTAACTTACGATTGTGTTCTTGTTTTTATTTTGCATTAAACTACGGTAAAATAATATTATATCTATAGTGAGAGCGTTATGTGTTAAACGATAACAATGAAATTCTCTCGTTTTACACGTTATCGCGTCGTGCTTACCAAAATATAATGAATGAACCGGCGTAATTAGTCAAACCGAGACTGCGACATCGATTTCCCCGGGGAAGAGAACCGCGTTACGCTCATCAGGGAGAATCTCGATAGCGCAGACGGTTGCAGAAGAGTACAAGTGCGAGGTATCCCGGTCCCAAGATAGATGAACGCGCAAGTATGCCATAGTTACGCGTCAAACGCTCGAGAATTTATGTGCGCGTAATAGAGTTTGGATATCCCCTCGCCGCTCATCACGTACACTTCATTCAGTGGTAATTAAGACGATAAAGCGATCGATATATTCGCCCCCGCACATTTACCCTACGACCAGTTTACAAACATCACAGATTGCTCTTATCTTCAACCAATTGTGTGATAAACAACATATTTGTTTTTTTATAATTGTTGACTAACGTGTTTATTATTGTACGTATACGGTATGCATGTCAAGTTTCTGCTGCAAATACATTCAACAGCGTTGTGAGATTTGCGTTCTAGGCAACTCGAGTTTTTTTCTGAATAATAAAACGTTTCGTAGAAACATTTGACAAACGGATGCGGTTACGTACGGATTTCGGTCATTTATCAAGTTTTCGGCGCAGTTCTAACAGCGGCCAACTATTTTCGAAGCCCACAGACCAATTTACCGTTAACCCAAGGGGGCCATTACCAGTCACTCCAACTAGGAATAGTGATCAAAGTTTAATTGCACCCTTATCGTAAAGTTGTACCTACCTAACAAAGTCTACGTTACCCGTGAGAAGCGCTGATGACGAATTATTTACCTCATTGAGGCACTAATATCTCCAATCTGTTAACAGATAAAATTATTTATATATCGAAACTTTTGCAATATATTTCAATTCAAAAAGCGATATAAAATTCATGAATAAAAAATGATTTTTTCCATGTATGTTAAGTTGTTAGATAGCAAAAAGAATAGTTAGAATATATAATGTGTATTATATAGACTTTTTAAAAATTCTTCAATATAAACGCGTTGTATAAACCTGTAAGTTTTAAAGTTAATTTCAGAAAACAAATTAAATAAAATTTATACTTAAGATATAGGTATACACAAATAAACAGTAGAAGAATAAGATATCACATTATTTGTTTATTGGTCCTGTACGACAATTATATTTAAACAAATATAAATAGATGATATAAATGATTTCAATAAAATAAAACTGTAATTAATTACGCACGAAATCTTAATAAGTTTAGATATATATAGATCAATGATTTTTAAAATATATGTATTGTATTGTTACTTTGTTAGAACCAAATCTTTTTCGTTTTGTGACTTACTTTTCTCCCATTTCTACTCTTTAGTTCAAGTCTAGCGTAACATGTTAAAAACATGTTACATACAAAAGTTATCATTCTGCGCGTGCGCGATCGCAAGGTGACTCTATAGTAAGATGGTCAACACAAAAAGAAAATTAGAAGTTTATGTATACATATATATATATGTGTATATATATGCGTATATATGTATATATAAATTTTAATATATATAAAATTTTATATAATATATATTTATATATTTATACACAATTAAAAAGATAGTTTTACAGCAAAATTACTATTTTAAATTATTATATCATTTAATAATAATATTTTAATAATAGTTTACATCTATTTTGCTTACTTACAAATATACATTATATTCTTTGTGCATACACATTCTTCATCCAGACTCTTCGGGGTTGTACACATATTCTATATAATAATATTAATTTAATGAATTATTTTTGTCTTTAAACAATTGTACGAAGAAAAATATAAAATAATAGAAAAGAGATAAGTTTTGAGTACATAGCACTCAAAATATTGTGCACGTTGTCACATGTACTGACTTGGTTAAATTATACAAATGTAACATATGTTTCGCGATCAGAGTGGTGCAAAATATACTTTAAGTAATGATTATAATAAACAATTAAAACATAATTGCACTTAATAATACATAATTACATTGTTATATGTAACAAACAATTTTATGAGATAATTGTAAAACATAATTGTATATAATAATTATAATTATAATAAATATAATTATAACACGTAATACTTGTAATTGTGGCAATTAATTATCGAAACAAGCAATTGTTGTAATTTAATAATATTCTACTCGGTCCACTCTGTTCACGATATAATAGATATGTTTTTTCCAACAACCAGTGGTATGTATGGTCACGCAAAAAGTAAAATTATACAAAAAAATACATCTACGTCAATTTTGAATTGTAGTGTATGCATAAATTCCTCTAACAAACGTGTCACATATCACGCGTTCTTCACGTTCACTTGACTCGTTTCTGTTGTCTTTGGCGATAAATGTCATTAACAGGTGGTGGTGGTAAATCTTCTTCTTCACTGTCGTCACCTAAACGCGTTCTTCTACGTTTTGATCCGATGCTTACACCGTCATTACTTTCATCAACAATCCAATGCACAGATTTTGCGAGATCAAACAATTTTGTGTCACATCCATTGTCTGCCACTGGCAATGGTGCTGGCAAAAAATATCAATTACGAGATGAAAATCAGATTCTTCTCAATATTGCAATTATTTACATCAAAATATAAATATGTGAAAAAGCCTATTACATATTGATATATAATATAATAAAAAATATAATACATATAAAGATATATACTATATTTATAGTTATATTCAATTTAATACATATAGAAATATACATAGTAAATCGAATTTGATTATCACTTATGAAACATGTTAAAAAAAAATAAATCTTATAAATACGAAAATAAATACCGTGATCAGGTAGTTGAATTCTACTAAAGACGTCCATAAGTAAATCGACAGCAACAAACGGACCTCGAAAGCAACCAGGTGGTGGCAACATAGTGCACAATTGGGCTGCAGCCGGTGGTAAAGGAAACGTACCGCCTTTTAGCAGTAACAAAATTATAACAATACATAATTGTAACCGCACACAAATTGTATCTGATAAGATCAGAAATTTAATCACTTACCTGGTATTGGATGTTCACCAGGTAAAGGATTTACTTTTGGTTTATACGGAATCATTTGTGACAAATCAGGTCTGGGCAAAGCGGCGATTGCTTCTTCTGGATCAGGTACACGAGGTAGTGCACCAATGGAGTTTCGAGCAACACTGGACACTTCCATATATCCGATTGATCGCAACTCCATTGGAGTGCACGGATATAAATCCAAAAACTTATATCTATCCACTAATTGAGCAGTTTCTTTACCTTCAAATTCTTTAATCTAAAGAATGAAACGAATATTAAGTAAGTAAAAATTGTGTTTTTTTCTTATCATATAATTACGCTAAGAGTATAAAAGTAAATATTACAATACCTTTTCCAATACAGCACTCCGTCTCTTCTCTACTTTAACGATACTTGCTAGATCGCCAATATTAGATTCAAATTCTAAGAAACGATTCCATATATCTCTATAAAAAATAAAAGAATGTCTAGTGTAATATAACTTGCAATATAAAATATAAAAAATAGCAAAAGTTTTATACACATACACTGATTTTTCTGGTTCTAAGCTACCTGAAGATAAAACTCTCTCAAATAAGACTCTTGTATTGTTATCCTCTGCAACAACAAAATTTGTAATAAATATGCAATTTATAGATTTTGAGTAAAAATATTTTATCTTTTATCATCTAAAATATTTTATCTTTTATCATCTAAAATTTCTTACCGTTCAAATGTGATAAGTAATCTACATAACATAGAATGTAATCAGGATTATCTCCAAATTTTTTCAAACCTAATTCAAAAATACGGAATGCTATATTTTTATCTTTAGTACAATAATATTCCATTAATGCGGCAGCGACATAAACGTGATGTTTACATCTCGGGTCTTCTCGCGCTCGTTTGAACACTGTTCTCGCAGATTTTATACCTTCAGCTCTCCTAGCAAACTTCATATACTGTACATAAGCCTGTGAAAAAAATTAAGTATTTTAGTATATTGATTAGTAAAAAAAAGATTATTACATAACATAAATGTATACCAACCAAAGTTGGATCTATATCAGGTATATCAAGAAACTTTTGATATATCTGATGCACTTTCTCGTATTTTACTCTACCCTCTTCGAAATCGGCGTGTGCGAAATACAATAACATATTTTTCGACAACAATGTACTTGTCGCTCGCTCGAACATGGTCGCTGCTTCATCGCTCAGTGTTTTAGATGCATGAACATCACCTTTTTCCGCCAATATTTTGGAACTCAGTTCTAAAAAATGCGCAGCCTGATGCCATACAGCAGGATGATGGCCCAAACATAACAAACACTGTTCAATAGCAAACATGACCCTACGCGCAACCAACGACGTATCTTCTGTCCGCAAAGGATTACTGCGTTCCCAAGCAATATATTTTTTCCATAATTCGACCTAAATACAAAAGTGCATACTATATAAATATAGCAAAACCACAAATTAATAACTGATGATAAATTTTTATAGAACAATAATACTAATAAACAAATAAAAAAAAGTAGAATACGTTTACAGAAAAAATAAATAAAGTATACAAAATAAACGAAGTAATACCTGCTTAACTTCCTCTGGATGACCGGTCGGAGGAACACTAGGTGCACTTCGATTAAGACCTCTTGTGACCGCTTCTAATTCTTTAGCAACGCGTCTTGCATTCATGTAGTCTCTAGATCGTTCGATTGCCATTTTCTCTGCAATTATTGGATTGATACCATGCTCAAATGCCATATAATCCTTCCATAAATGCTCCATATTTATCATAGGATTAACAACACCTCGTTGATAAACCTAAAACATAATAATTATATTTTTTAAATTATTTATAAAAATATTAAATTCATCATTACCGTATATTTTACGTGCAGAAGAAAAATATTTACCTTTCGTACAGCACTAATCTTTTGATTTTCAGCGTAAGATCCAACTGCTTCCACACTCTTTAAAAACATAACATAATCATTCCAGATACTGTAAGAATGTATATCCATTCCAATTTTATCTAACGCGAAATCATACGCTTGGGCCATTTTTTCTCTAAAAATTATGATAATTTAGTTTTCTCGCTTTTTGCAAATTATTATTGAATTACTTAGCCACTACCCATTTTAGTTTAACATCAATATACAAAATAAATATTAAAGTCTCGAACGGTATTTTTGTACTTGTTGAGTTTTTACTTTTTATAATAAAGTTTTTTCACATGTGTACTTACTTATATGTAGCTAAGCTTGCTTTGGTTTCTTTGACATAAGAAAGATACAGTTTCCATAATTCGATATTTAAGATTTTCATGAGGCACCTTTGGAACAGCTGTTAGACAAAACAAGACATTTTAAAATTTAAGTTATAACAAGTAGACGCAATATGTTGTACATATAAGAATTTATTGTAGCTCTGTCCCAAGGGAAGATATACATGTATATATATCCACCATATTACTTACCCATAAAAAGGCAAGTTTTATTTAAACACATAGTTAAACATGCTTACAACACAATATATTGAACATTTGTATTATTGGAGATATAACAGAGACAGAGTTTATTTAAATATATTTAATGACAGTACAATCAGAGTATAACACAATCTTCATATAAATGTGTGTTCACATATAAATTGGGATAAATAATAATGCACCAATGCATCAATTGAGAATAGTTTATTGTATAAATATATACGATTTATTGCTACTGATGAAAATTATATATTCTTTTAATGTTTTTATATAAATGTATAATATAGTTAAATAAGTTATATATACACAACATGAAGAGCCCCATAAAATGAAAGTTTTATTTATTTTCTGCAGATGGGGCAAGTGATAAAAAATGATTCCTATGTGGGATCTGGAAATGAGTGATCCCAAGACACGATAAAAAAATCAAGACAATGTGAAGCAGCATAAGGTGATGCTAAAAGTACCTGCTATAATAATTTAAGAATACAATAAATTATAAATAAATAATGATATAATGGAAATACCTATAATAGAATATTTTATCACCTTATACTACCTCGAAAAATGTATATAATATTTGATTTTCTCAAATATTATTTAGAAGGAGGACATGAGTAGAGGAAGTTTTCGTACTCATTTCAATTAAATAATATTATCGTAGAATATTCTCTTCCCATTACACATAGCATACCGTGATTAAACTTAAGTGAGAATTCAGTATATAATAAAATAGCATCACATAAAATGCAACATGAGAGAATCGTATTTATGAAATACGGAAAAATCCTATAAGCGTAAACGAAAAGATATACTGCAGGGAGGAATATAAGGCTATTATATTCAGGAAGTTATCTTCTTTGGATAGATTTCCTCATACAGCAATATTTGTTATTATAAAATGTGATCAACATAATCAAATAATAAGCAGAATAAAAAACAAAGAGATAACTAGTTACCAAAGAAAACAACCTCCCAAACATTTCAACAAATCAATTAGTAATCAATGAAATAATTTGTATATGGTGAAATAGTTTTTTTATTCACCTCATATAATATGTAATATTTAGAATCACAGTATATGATAAGTTTCACACTTTTTTGTGTGTTAATAAACCTACAATTCTAAATTGCTATATTTGAAGAATAAAACAAAATAGAAATTCTTAATTTCTGCAAAAACAATATTTATAGTCTATAAAAGTTTTGCAATAAAAAGGCGCGTCTAATTAACCTGATCAGTCTTAGTCTAATAAGTTTGTTAAGAATAATATATAAGAATTATACAAATTAATTAATTTTCTTTTGTATCCACACAATATAAATTTTTAATTTTAATTATTCTATAAGATATTTTTTTATCAAATATTGTTAAATAACAAGATATTTTATTATATTTTATATTTATGTCAATTTTATGTTACTTTATTTCCACGTACAGGAAACAACCTGAATGTTCTATGTATTATTTAAATATTTTTGGGAATAAAAAGAGCTAATAATATAATTAATAATAATATATAAATATATACATACAAACATATATTAAATACACAATTATGTAAAAGTAATATGTTAACATACCTTTTCCACTTTTTCAAAATTCCGCATTTTCATCTGAAGAAACAAACAATAAAATAAAAAAATTAATATTTAATTACATATAAAAATTTCACAATATACTATTTCTAAGAAAATATAAATATCTAGTTTTTATTGAATCTATCTTTTCAGTAAAATAGCATATAGATATTACGTCATAAGTTATAATAGTCAATTATTACCTCTTGTTCTATGTAGATTTTCCAATACCGGCCAGCCATTGGAAATATGGAAATAAGGTTCTCAAATACTGGTCTTACTTCAGTGATAGGCCTGTTTTGTGCTTCTCTGATGAGAATACTCCATGCTTCCAGATCATATGGAGATTCGTTGACAGTCTTCTGAGCACGTTGCAATTTTTCATTACCCCAATCCTACAAAATATATTTTAATATTTCTGTAATTCTCTTTCTCTTTCTCTTTCTCTCTCCCTCTCTCTTTTAAACTATTCTATTTTCTGTGCAATTGTTTTTACATAAAAATCTTTTGCTAAAGAAATATAGAGAAGGCAACTGCATGGAAAGCGAGAGATTCCAGGTTTGACTCCTGGCCAAGATGTTTTTTTTGCAATATAATTCTTAATTAGTTGGGAAAGAAAAATGGGGAAAACTTTCTCATATCTGTGATGCAAATAGCATCCTATATAAATTTGTAAATTGAAAGTTTCAATTCGAATAATCATGTGTAAAAAGTTTATTTTTAAAATATAAATATTTATATATACTTATTCTACAAAACTAAAATACCGGCTCCTATTACCAGTTAAAAACGTCGCGGTTAGTTTTAAACTATATGAGCCTTGATTGTTCATTAAATTGTTAGAAATATAGTGAGTAAAGAAGCAGATGTGCTTGAGTTAAGGTTAGATTAGGTTAAGTATAGTATTGAAGCAAAAGTTGCATATTGAGATCGTATTGATTAAAATATTCAGAAACTTTTGATTGTTCGCAAGTATACCTATTTCAAAATTAATATAAAAACATATAAATAATACTCTTATTATGTCACATATATTTGTATTAATAATAAACTATACGAAAAGTGAGGTTACAGAGAATTCAACAGACTCAAAAATAACGTGACTACTTACAAACTCCGTTTTCTCCTCCGTTATTTCTGCCATGTTAGTCAAAATAAAGTAAAACTGCTAAATTCTATATAATATATTCACGTACGACGAGAAATTACAATGTTGTCTACTCAAAATCGTCACAGAAACACAAGCAAAGAGCAAAGACGCTCGACCAAGACGGAACGATGCCAACAATGCAGCAAAGAACAGACAATAAACCCTGCGCTGATACAATGCGCACAGGAAAGAAATAAGCGTTAGAAACGATACATCGATATATCGATATAGCGAATAGCGATTTATCGAATACATAAAACGTCGACTTGTGAACTCGCTTATCGATAGTTTACATCTTTGCTACGTCCGTTGTCGTCGCGTTGTCGTCAGTTTTGTCACACATTTTCAAAATACTAAATTCTATTAACAATTTAGTTCTCTTTGACGTATTCACAGCACACACAAGTAACAATATACATTTGACAGAGATTATATATATTTGGCTAAAGAACGAAAAGTGAAGAAAGCACAAAAAAAAGTATCGTATACATTATATAGTTATAGTTTCATAATGGCATTATTTTAATTTGAATTTCTTTAATTTGTCATATAACATAACAAAAAATAGATTTATATGTTATATATGTATATTTAAAAAAGGTTTTAAATAATGATGTTGTGTATTTTAAATTTTATGTCAAGAAGTGTAAACAAACATGTAAAAACGTGCGTTATGTAATACTTAATGATATAAAATTAAAGCGACGTGATATAAACTATACAAATATATTAAATATTATGCTTGCGTAAAATTCTTGAAAAAAAAAAAAAAAAAAAACGCCCCCGGGTGGGCTCGAACCACCAACCTTTCGGTTAACAGCCGAACGCGCTAGCCGATTGCGCCACGGAGGCTCTTGATTTCTAGGTCGCAGTTGTACTGATGATAAGGTAGTATACGATACAACAGTATAGAAATTTTTAATACATTATATTAGATAATGTATAAGTTATTATAAGTTTTTTAATCTTCTTTTTATATTTTCGAAATCAAGAAATGGAACAATCCTCTTTATCGTTCTAGTTTTTAATCAGTATAATGCTTTGAGATAAACCTGTTTAATTTAAATAGTACTGATTTTTTGTAAACACAAGAAAACATTTTTATTAATTTCATTGTCGACGTTTTTTTTTTTTTACCATCTTGCAAGTCGCATAAAATATTATCTGCCGTGCTGAGTATATAAATAATCAGTTATCAGTTTATATATTGATGTTGCAATCGCAGCAATAAATAAAAAGAATCAAAGATCGGAAATGTTTAAATTAAGACGGTAGCCGAGCGAGCGGCTAAGTGTCGATAATGAATCTCCACGTTAATTAGCCTCTGGTCGGGCGAGGCGATAGGTAGTTCGTTGTAGCATACCAATATCTTCCTCCTTGCCAGTCCCGGGAGAAGTAAAGCCTAACTGAAACGTCACGCCACTTGTTACTCGTTAGTGTGCACGATGCCATCTTTGCTGGGCGACCGTGCGGCCCCGGTTACTTCGCCTCCGGTAGTTGCTATCGATATCGGCACGACCGTGTAATTAACAATGTTCCTCGGCTCTTTACCTGCTCCCAGACTTGCCGCGCTTCTGGACCGATTTCACGGAGATGTGATTCTTATCCGTATATATATGTAGGATTATTTGTTCAAAAAAGGAAAAATAAATCTCCTCGTGTCTTCGATGATGAACAGAATAAAATACACTTTATTAATAATTGAAATATAACTAGCGCGGACAATTGAAATATAACGGCCAACAGGGAATCACAAAAGTCAATCGACTCAGAGCAGCGAATAACGAATGTTTTATTTTGCTCGTCGAACGGCCCCGACAGCGCCGCAGCTCTCTTATCTCTTGTTTTCCCATCGTCTCAAGGACACAACGAGTATTCCCACTTCTGTCAAATCTACCGGCATCGATCGCGGGCTTTTCAATAATCGCTCGACTCAAAAAGAGTTTTTCGCGCCGCGCCTAACGCCGAGTGGTCCAATAAATCAACATCCTACATATATACTATATATTGATTTGGCAACAACCGCTACGTCTCGCAATGATAAACACACATCGTAACATCGAGCAGTACTAAAACGATGCAATCGATTTTCGATATATTGCAAAATAATATCGTATTTTTTGGAAAAAATTATTAAATCAAACTCTATTTCCAGACTATTTCTCAATTTAACTGTAATTTTAAAAGTTCGGTAATTAAGAAAATATCATACGTAAGTGAACTTAATAATATATAACATCTCTTGCTAAAAAACAAAAAAAAACTAAAGCAAAGTTAGAAAGATTTACTGACAATGTCAAGTAGAGAAGTCCGCTCTTATATATTCGCAAATAAGCTTGTGCAGATTTCATCTGGAACGTATCTTTCGCGCGTCGACGAGAGAAGCTTTTCCATTACGCTTGGGCGGTGGTCTGTCGTTATATCTGGGACAGTCAAGTCTGCGGTCGCTGATCTGATAATCCCAGGATTTATGGCGGCGGTGATGGTCCATTTAGCCGTTGACACGACTGTACACGAGGCGCATGTCGAGGTGCATTTTCGCATGTGTGAGCGACAATACGGAAATATCTTGTTAAAAACCGACTGGACAGGCGAACACTAGATTGAACGATTTGACTGCGCGTGCATGCAAAGCGCATCCAATACATGAATTGAGGAATGACATTTATATACATATACTATGATTATACGAACGTTCAAACCAATTAAGTACATCTCTAATTTTAATGACGTGAAATAAAACATTTCTAAGAAAAAGTTTTTATATATTTATAATTAAGTAATCAGATATAATTTTTATCAGTGAATAAAAATTTTTTAATGTCACAGAAAACTTATAATATTTTTGTGTCACATTTTTTTATTTTGATAAATACATTTTTCTTTTTTTAAAGAATGATATCATAGACGTCTTTAATGAATAATTAGCAGTTATATGTTTTAGGAAGTAGCACGCTTTATTGATAAAAAAATAAATTTATTATACTGCATTTTTATATGTATATATATATATATATATATATATATATATGTGTGTGTGTGTGTGTTTATGGTTTAATAGGCACGTTTGTTTTCTGAGAAGCATATTAAGAAACTAATTATCGCTGGGAGGCGATCGGTAAGTTAAATCCAAGAGTGCGCCTACATTTAACGACGGTTAAAGTTTAATGCGGCGTTCCATAATAGTGGTAAACGTATTATATTTTTGCCGGATAGAATCATCAAGTAGGTAAATAAGTGCCGCGCGATTAGCGTTTACAGCTGTAATAAAATGGTACTGCATCGCGTGGATACGAAAGTTATTCCGCAAGAAGAAAAACGAGAGTGCCACGGAGAGTCGAGCGGTCATTCGCATCTTGATCGTAATCACGACTCAGAGATGTCACATATATTCACACACATGCATAAAAAATCAGAACAATATTTATTGTTCACTTTTATGCTAATCTCTATTATTTTATCAAACAATCTCTTATAATATCTTTTATTATTACGAGAAAAAACACACACGTCATATTTAACTAAGTAATTCTTTTACAATTCTTTAATTTTCTTTTATTTGAAAAATAAAAGTTGCAATTATTTATATAAATTTATATTTTTTCTCTTAGTTTTATCAACTTAGATCTCTTGACAATTAGTAAGGTTTTTTTTTTAATATATTTTAAAGCAATTTAAATAATTTAACATTTGTGTTTTTGCGAAAATATCACAGGTATATTTATCTCGTCGCGCGCACAGCTGATGTAGTGATTATTGTGTGCTCAAAGAAACAGACAATCGCAACATCGCGGAATTAATTTGTCAAGGCAAAAAAATGTTAATTTGTATATCACAACGTAATAATTATATTATTACTATACACGATGACGCAGTGACATTAACGTTTCCTCGAACGCGGCGGCCGAGCGTGTTCACCCCGCGGGCGATACTTATTAAAGCATACGCCTAGAAAAGACGAGCATTTTTCATCGCTCCACGTCGGACAGGATGATAAAATCCGCGGGATATATATACGGCGCTCGCTCGCGGATAGATACTCACTTTCAACTCCCAAAGATTCATGCGTGATAAACGTGAGACCGGCATTATAAGCACCTTTAATTCATTAATAGTCGCGCGCAAATAATTGATATCGCGTAATTACCGACCACGCGGTACGGTTATGCTCTCGAAGTCGCTCGAGCGTGGGATAATCGAGAAAAAGCCGCGCTACTTTATCATGTTTACAAGTCGCAGTTCGATTAGTGAGTTTGACGAGTCGAATATTTCGAATGTGTGCGCATATATAAAATTTTGTGTTGCGCAAGTGCGCGTTTTTATTTTTGGGATATTGTCGAATTGAAGCGTCGTCGTCGCACGGCGGAGATGCATCGTTCTCTCGTGATCTTGATTACCTTCGAAGTAATTGGATAAAGATAACGATAATAATAATCGGTAGTGCACGGTAGTCGCCTTTCTACGCTGCGTCAAAGTGAACCGATTTTCCAGATAATTGTGCAATTGAATTTGTTGCGCGATCTTGGCTCCCGCAATACCCCGGTGATATCATCACGCCGATTTAATTGTCATCCATCGCCGTTTTTTTCGATTCGACCGCGAATATCTCGCACCATATACGAAGATAATAATAGCCCCGATTTAATACCTAGGTATATGCATTATTCACTTCGCGAAAACCTTACGCAGTTTTTCTTTGTACCAGTCGTAACTTTAGCACAACGCGTTTATATAATTTCTATATACTATGTACATAGAAATATAAAACAGCAGGTTTTCTCGTATGCGAATATGAGATATGACACGAGTTTATTCCTAAAAGTCGAGACCGTAGATAGAGGTCGATCGGTAGCCGCGCCATGTATGTTCGCAATAAATTACTTATTTACTTGTTCGCGGGGGCATGTTGCGGCGCAACATTTCTCGTCATTGAATCTCGTTCTACGATGCTCTGCATCGAGATATTATACGCGCGAAAATGACTCTTTTCACGTTTCGTTTATTTTCAAGATGTTAAGCCGGTGTAATTACGTTTTAATTGCCATTCACACAACGCGAGATATTTCGCTCTTTACGATGCAATAAAAGATCGTTTAATGTTATCAATTTGCGATAATTAAATTGACGCCTCATTACATTCCCACGTCGTGAAAACCCGTTCGTCTCAATTAAACCGCGCTTCGATTCCGTTCCGGCGATGTTTGTACTTGCGCTTGGGTGCTATGTTATGTAAGACGCATAAAATTAACGCTCTGCCAAATGCAACAAGCGTCTAATCTTTTTACACGGATGCGTTTTCGTAATAAATTCACTTTTCAATGTTTATTGTCAAAAAATTATATCGTCACTTCTATCGCAGATAAATGCATCGCTACGTCTCCGTTTCCTATATTCTCTTCTTTGCGCACACGCGATTGCGC